CCAGGGCCCTGCCCCCAGAGGAAGGCAGGGAAGAACAGCCCCACCACAGCCACGCCGGGCCTGCCAGACAGGCAAAGAGCAGGACAGAGCCGCTCCTTGAGGTCTTCCCCAGGCCCAGGAAGAGCCTCTGGCACCAGCGCCACCAGGAGAGGCTGTTTTCCCCATCAGATCCACAGCCCAGCTCCCTGCAGCCGACCAAGGACACGGGGCTGTGGATCCGAAAGCCATCCCGCCACAGAGCTCCCGGACTCCGGCCCCCGCTCGCTGCAAGCGCTGCGTCTGTCAGATGCTGGGCTGCAGAGGGCAAGGGCCTGGCCCAGCAATGGGCTCATCTGGTCTGCTGCGAGTGGAGAAGGGACGAGGAGCCCACCCCCCACGCCTTAACCAGCTGGATTTACACTCACCAACCAGAGGACAATTAGACTCACGTCCCCAGAGATCTTCACTGAAAGGCAACAAGCCCCCAAAGCCCCCCAGCGAACCCTCCGTGCCCCGACAAACGCCTCGGTGGCCGTGCCTTACCGTACTGCACCAGAGCCGAGGACTGTGCCGGAGAGGCCATGTCCCAGGAGGAGGGGCTGCTGCTCCCGCCAGGCTGGGTGTGCTGAGCCGCCAGCTGAGCCAGCGCCTGAGCCGTCTTGAACTGCTCCAGGAACTGCGAGCCGGTGGTGCTGCTGCTTTTGGCCTCTCCCACGTCTCCAAACCCCTTCCCCAGCATGTTCACCTGGGGTCGGAATGAGGAAAGGCAAAGTCGGCCCCCCTGCCAAGGGCACCCTAGGCCACCAGAGAGCAGAGTGCCTGCCTCGGACCCAGGCTTGGCTTCCAGGGGAGGTGAGAGGGAGTGGGGACGTGCTCGCTCTTGCAGTCCCTGTATTCACACTGTCTGCCTTGCTGTGCTGTGCGTGATTCTACTGTCCTGGAGTAACTCTGTGTGCCTCAGTTTCCCTGGGCACTGCAGCACTGTCTGGATGAGGAGGGGGACTCACCGTGGAAGTACGTTCAAGTCCTGAGGACCAAGGGAGGGCAGACAGCACCAAGGGCGGGCTGCCTTGAGGGTTGGGACCAGCTGCTGGGGGTGAGTGGTTTTTCGGCTGGCCCAGGAAGAGGGGAGCCTAGCTGGTTTGGGGGGGCCAGGCAGGGGGCTCCAGCCTTGGCTCTGGGCCCCACTGTCCCCAAGACTGATTATACAGGAACCAGGAGCAACAAGGCTGTGCTACACCATGTCCCTGAGAACCAAGAAACCTCCTGTTCTACCTGCCGGCTGCAGACGGGGTCAGGGCCCAGTGGCTCCCCCAGTCTGTGACAGGAGGTACTGGGGCGCTGTCTGGTCGCAGCTCGCCCTGCACAGGCGTGAACACTGCAGGCCCCTCGCATGCCAACAGCCAGGTGTCAGGGAGCGGATGCGGCACAGCTGAGCTCTCCGATAAAGGGCACCGCTGGCTTTGCAAGAACTCCTGCTCCCGAGCCACGTGGGAAATGGCACCCAGTGTCACCGAACTGTCTGCCCCGGTGACAAGCAGCAGCTGCCCAGCTCCAGGCACCCCTCCGAGACCGTTCCAACAATTCCCTTCGCTCTTTGCCGGGCCCCAGCACACACCAGGTGGAGGGGGCCGGGCAGCCGGCAAGCCAAGAGCCCACACGGCACAGCGACGCCCAAGAGGCAGGGACACGTGGGGCAGAGGCTGCACGCGCCTACCCTAGGGAACAGGCACATTGAAACCAGGCTCGGTCCTCGGGGAAGTCACCTCTGGGAGAGGGAGAAACCTGCTCAGACGCTTCCAGAGCCACCCGGCAAGGCCTAGCTGCCCAGCACAGCGCTCCAGCAGGGAGGCTGCCCTGCCTGGTCCCCCAACTCACTGTGCCCGGGGAACAAGCCGGCAAGTCACCCAGCTTGGGGATCCTCAGCTAGAGGGTGGCACCCAGCCGGTCCCTCCCACATTGCTCAAAGGGGGGGCCACAGACAGCAGCTGGGCTCCTTACCATGCTGTGATGAGGGAAGGCGTTACCGGACGCAGGCTGGGGGAGCGCTGGCTGCTTGGAATTGCTGAACACCAGTGGCTGGGCCAGAGAAGGGGCCTGGGTGGAATCCAGGGTGGACGACTCGTTCTCCAGAGAGGAGGGCGTCTTTCCTAACAGCACCGCAAGGTCAATTCTGGGAGACGGGGACAAAGGAAACCAGCGGGGTTACCGGGAGCTGAGCCGTCTCTGGAGTCCTGCCCTGTGACCTAGGGGGATCCACACCACACTCCCTGCAGCACCTGCCTCTAGCCACCTCCAAGGGCCGAGTGACAGGAGCCGCCACCTGCACCCACGACAGGCAGCCGAAGAGGAAAAGCAGACGTAGAGCAACGCTTCCGCAGGGGCGCCCGGGCGAGGCGCACAGCCCCGCTAGGCTGAGGAAGGGGGCTCGTACCCTCCAACCTACTCAGTCTGGCAACCCACGTAATGGTGGAGACCAAGGGCTGTGCTTGGTAACCCCGGGTTACAGCGGTACACAAGGAGGGTGACACTGACTAATAAACGGACAGGCCATTGATGGGTGTTTTCCTGGGACCAACAAGTGCCATGTGAACCGCTTCCCCTCCCACCTCACATCAAGCTCAACCACCTGGCGGCAAGAACAAATCCAAGCTCTAGGGAAAAGATCTGAGTGCGTACAGCACCCTTTGGAGCCCAGGCTGCTCTCAGACGTACCTAGCCCTCCCACCCTCCGGTGAAGTAGTTAAGCAGCTTGGCTGAGACTTTCGAGTCAGTCCAGGGTCATTTCACTAAATCAAGAGATGCGCCTAAATCCCTTAGTCTGCTCTGAAACCCCCAGAGCTGGTCTACAAAGGGCAACGACAACAAGCCTGTGACAGAGACCGTCACAGAACTTGGGAAGAATTCCTGGGCTCCAAACCTGAGCTCCGACCGCTCAGCCCCATGGGAACTTATGCGGAAGGGCAGAATTTTGTCCAAGTGGCTCGCCAGCTGCCTTGGGTGGTTTAGACCCAAGCAATCCTGCAGCCTGGCAGGGAGGCAGACCAGGTGACCCCTGCGGTTCTACGCCCTGCCCCCACGCTACCCTCCTGCCAGAGCACTGCTACTAAGTTGTCACCTCTGTCCAGCTGTGATTGTCACAGTCTCTGCCGGCAGAGGCACTGAAGACACATTGGAGGCAGTGAAGATCTTGGTCTCCGAAAGCTGCAAGACAGAAGAGGGAGACAACCCGCGTATTAGAACCAGGCGTAGGGCTCTGAACACAGGTATTTCCAAAGCAACTGAGCCTGGGCAGAAGGGATCTGCAGGACAATGAGCTGGTGGCGCCCTGCGAGAATCAGCGAGTGGCATTAGTGCTGCAAACATGATCAGAAAGGGCCAGCCCTTGGGTTTGCCACCCTCAGCGACTCGCCAGCCTTCTGCCATGCCTAGAAAGCATTTCCACAGTCCTGCCAGCCCCTCAATCCAGATGAGCGGCCGGGAGCTACGGAGTGAAAATCCACCGGGAAACGGGCAAGGGACACGCATGAACCGCAGCGCTCCCCTGAAATCCATGCCGACAAGGAGGAGCAAGGTCAGAGAGGGGAGTCAACTGAGCAGAAACTTCAGCCCTCGCTTGACAGGTGAGCCTCGGATCCCACAGCGGAGGGCACCTCTGGCTCCTGGGCCAAGGAGCCACGGCGCAGCTAGGGCTCTGCCATGAGACCCGCTAAGGGAGGCAGTCAGCCAAACACCTAACACGGGCTTGCCTGTCGCTCAGGTCAGAGACCCTGAAGCGCTCTGTTGAGCGGGGCTGCCACCCAAGGGGCACTCGGCTCTCCACGGGCCCGGGAGCGTCTCTGCCCAGGATGCAGGGATGAATAGGATGTTTTAGAGCCCCCCCCCCGTTCACAGCGGGCCACACTGTATACAAACAGCCTCTATCCCAGAGACACGCACGGGGTGAGTAACGGCAAGAGTGATGGAAAATCATCCCAAGCCAGCATGCTTGCTTTGGGCGCCAAGGGCCTCCCTGCGACACACGGAAGGGTGTCTGCCCTCCTTCGAGCAGAGCGCCCCAGGGCCCAGACACGGCGCAGCTCCGACACCCAGCGCCACCGCCTCCTTGGCACAGTGCTTGGAGGAGGAATGCCTTTTCCTCTGCTGCCAACGCCGGCTGAGAGAAGTGAAAAGGCGGACCAAGCAGCACTCGGCCCTGCAGCCATGTAAGGGGACAGCCAAACTCCCTTGATTCAAATGGCAGCTGGATCAGGGCCCACGCTGGAGCACTTCAGAAGTGAAGGCCAGGCTTTTTTCCAAAGCAGCGGAATTGGATGCGGGAACACGGAGAAAGCAGCGAGATGAAAATGAAACAAGCCACAAGAACACGAATAACGCGCTCAGAGCTCCTGGAAACAGGCACTGAAAAGTACAACCGTGGCAAAGAAGACAGGGGAAGGCGTTTCCCGTCCTGTGCCGACTCCCTCCCCAGCCCAGCTAGTACGGAGTCACAGGGCCCCAGCTTTCCAAGCTGCAAACTCGCAGGGTTGACTTGCCCCCGAGCTGGGTCACGACAATCCACCTGAGTCATGCAGTGCAGTTCCTGGAACAAGGCGCCTGCTTGGGGCTATTCCTACAGGCCTCAGCTAGCAGGTTTTGGGTCCCTTCTAGCATAGGGAGGGGATTGAGAGTACCTACATCTTCATTCCAGTCCTCTGTGCCCCACTCCTCCGTCGCTGTCCGCCACGCACCTACAAGGAAAGCAAGAGTTTGGGACGTTGCCTGGATGTCGGAGCCCTGTTTCTTACCAAAGCCAGGATAGTGGTTGGAGGCATAGCAGGCAGCTGGGCGAGTTCTTACCCACCAACCCGGCACAGGCGAGAGGCTAAGAACGGCTGTGCACAGCACACCCAACACCGAAGCAGAAACTCAGGAGGCAGGGCTTAGCGGGGGGCTCCCTGGGTTCTCCCCAGCCCCTTGGTTCAGAGCCATCAGTTTTCCTGCTTTCCCCTCTCCTTGCAGTAGCTGCACCCGCAACCAGCAGAGACCGAAGCACCACCTCCAGATGGAGGCAATGCCAGTCCAGCTCTCTTGCGGGGCCTCCCCACACCCCTATCAATTGGATGGGTTTTCTTAAAGGGACACTGTCAGAGCAAGTTCATGCCCAAGTCTCAGGACTGAAACGTTTGCCTGGGTTTGTCTCAGTGAGAATGTTTCCCTGCAGTGTTTGAAATCCAGCACAGGGCACGTTGCCCTAGTGCAGGACACCCCGAAAGCGAGATCTCCGAGGAACCGGCAAGCAATTCCTGAATTTTCCTTGTCCAATTTCAGAGCAAGGCAAAAGGCGAACAGATAAAACGCTGCAGTGAAAAGACCGTCATGTGGGTTTCAACGGGCCGAGGTTTGATTTGTGGAATTTACAGGTTCCGAAATGCGTTTAACTTGACTGCCAGTTCGGAGTCCCTTGTCTCCCCTTCCTCTCAGTTGGAACTGAGCACTTTGGGGTAGCATGCTCACTTCCGAGTGCACTAGAAACTCAATGGTAGGCCTGGAGGACGGGGGGGGGGGGGGACATTCCCGCGACACAACAG